CGAGGTGGGCTCGGCGGCGAGCTCGCCCGAGCACGTCGTCGAGCGTGTAGACAGGGGACGTCGCCCGACGCCGTGGCGGCGCTGTAGGGCAGCCAGGTCTTGACGCGGCCGTCGTCGTCCGTGATGGACTCGAAGGTCCTCGGCGTCGTGGCGGCGGCCGTCGGGGCGCCGGCGTCGGGCGCCGACGGCGGCGTGTGTGTCAGCTGCACGCGGAGGGCGCGCGCCGGGCGGCCGGCTGTCGTGTCGAGGACGTGGCAGGTGATGCGGTCTTTTGTGGCCATGGTTGCGGCGGACTTTTTGTATGCGAAGAGGCGGCCCTTTTTTTTTTTTAAGAGGGGGGGGTGGTTGCTGTGGGCGAGGGAGAATGTGAGGGTTGAGGTTGAGATTCGGCGCGAAGTGGGATGACATGGGCGGCATGGCGGGGTAGCGTAGCTGGGTCCCGACGGACTGGCCCACTGCTATCGCGGTGTTCCCCGATGGGCGATATGGGAGGGGGAGCTGAACCCAACGGGCGCACTGGCACTGCCGTGAGATATTCTTGCATTTCTGAAAGCGTGCCTCGTGGTACGCGAGCTGGTCCTATCTGACTGCTGAAGGTGATAGCTACATGAGGTAGCGGCCTTGAGTTTTCAGAACCTATCACCTACACAATCCGTCATGCACTACTTTGTGCGCAAGTAGCACAAGACGAATAAACTCAAGGCGAGAATTTCACCAGCCGCTGTTTTGCAGGCATTTCAAGTACTCTTCCGTCTTGCATTCAGGAGCCGCCGGGACACGCAAACACCTCATTGCGCTTGCATCCCTTCTGATGCACGGCTCCCTCTTAGATGGACCTCGTTAGCACACCCGATACAACATGGACTTATCCAAGTCGACAGTTGAGACTGAGCAAATGGTCGACTTCTTACTGACATGTACGTGATATACGACTTCAATAGCGTCGGCCAAATCCAAGAAGGGATGTTGACGCTTTACCAAACATGTATTCTTCGATCCCTTATCCAAAGAGCTTCCCACGCGTGACACCGTCATGAGAAGATGGAGAAGATCAGTCAAGTCTTCCACGCGGCTCTAAACCTCGCTGTGGCAAGAGAGGCCGACGCGAGAGGCCCTGGGCATTTCAAGGCGGGCTTGAGAGTGATGGTGGGGAGACGGTACTTTGACAGTGGTGATTGCAACAGGAGCATCGAAAGGAAGGCTAGCAATCCACCAGGGTTTGATTTCGCCGCGAGCTTCACGAGGTAGAACGATGCCAGACAGTACCGTCATCACAATGAAGTGCACAAGGGACCTTGTGGGAGAAAGATCAGGCGCGGAGACGTTTAACTGGAATATTTGCAGTATCTTGATGAGAAACAGCAAAACAGGCGGGACCTGGAAGTATATTCGAGACCTGTGAATAAGATCTCGCGGTCAGACGGTTGGCAAGTGTCGAGCCAGCTACACCCGCACCGACGGTACTGTAGTCGTAAACCTCCTCCCGAGCAGTCGACTTGGGAGACCCACGCTGCACATCAGACGGCACTAGTTGGGGACTGAAACCGGGTGATGGAGCTGACGGCATCGCTGCTAAGCAGCCAGCCATGGCCAGGAGAGATACGATCTGCATGTCGATGAGTTTTTCCGATGGTTTCAGATGGGCGTGTGATGAAAATGAGATGAAGATAGGCCCGTCTTTGAGTACCTTAGGAGAAGGGCCCAAATATAGGGAAAGTGAATGACGCTTCGGACTCACCGGGTTGCCTTCAAGCGTTTGTTGCTCTCTTCATGAGGCTGAGCTAGATACATGCGTCAGGCGCAGACCACGTCCTCTCGTTCCCTAGGTATCATGAAGCTCCCGACGCCGGTCGTGATCCTTGCCATGGTTCGCCGAATGCTCGGACCTTGTCATCGGTCTTGACCTTGAAGAACGGCATCTCCGCAAGAAGATGGTCCTAATGCATATGCGATACCTCAAACGGAGCATGTGGGGAGATTTCCAAGTGTGATGTGGGAAACCGATGAACCTGTGGGATGCTTCAAGGCCTCTTTGGTTGTTCTGTGCCCGAAATGTGAGATGACAAGACGATGATGGCAGGGGACTTCGATGAGGTGTCACAATAACACAGCCTCGAGCCGAACAGTGGGCTGAACTCGAAGCCCATGACAATTCGCTACCGGTCAGTCTCGCCATATGTACTCATCAAGACCCCCGGATCAAGCCCGGTGTTGAGCCCGATCTGGCGGTACCTTGGCCTCCCGAGTTGGTAGCGGCTGCCGCAGACCCGGCACCATGTGTTCATCCTCATCGGCACTGCATAGCTCCTAAATGGCTGCCTAACTTGCTGCCAATGATGCGCCCTCCTTCAGACTCCATTACTGGAGGGCCCATTGTGACACCATGACAGATCTGGTCTTCGGCCTGGAACCCTGAATATAGTGGTGGGGCTTGTAACAACAGAGCTGCAGAGACTGCTTGATAAGTACTTAGGCAATCAAGCCTCAGTAAGAAAAGGTAATATGAAAGCTCATGCTTCAGAATTGTGGACTGCAAACCTACCAATTCGGGGGTGGTTGTTGGATGAGCCTGTTCTATGGGTAGAGACCATACACCACTCCGCATACGAGATTTCACGACCTGACCGTAATAGAGCTAGATCTGTGGTTCATTCCCGCTGAAGACTTGATATGCTTCAGATTGTGAGACTTGTCAGTTTTAGAGGTTGTCGTGCTTTCACTTGACATGGTCGCTAGCACGGCGGTTGGCTATGGCAGCCCCCACGACTTGGTGCGAGTCAAATCGAATCAAACCCTGGCTCTGCACGTTACGCATCTCACCAATTTCTTCCTATTCAAGTCAGCATGCATTACCTGCTAGCTTCATGATGAAGAAGAACAGCCTTTGTGCAGTACTGACGTGACTGAACGTGTCGCCAAGTGAAGGAAGGTACTGAATAACCGCTGAAGGGTGTAGCGTCACATTTCATTCCACAGCAGCGCGGCATTGCGTCATCATGGTCTGTTGCATCCACAAGCGGGAAGCAGCCATGTCCTTGGCTGCTTCCCGCTTGCAACAGACCAACCGAACCAGAACAGTCAGTTACCATCAGACGCAGCTTCCAAGACGAGACCAAGACGAGCTCAAGAGCCCAGAAAGGGCCCAGATGCCCTAAGCCACGTCCAGACCAATGGCCACGTCCAGCCCAAGGGCCACCGTGATACCAACATCTTCCGGTCATCGTCATGCGCCTTCGCGTCCGCTGCACTGCATCATTGCGCCCGCCTTTGTCTTCGCTGGCGGTCTGGGCAGCGTGCTTTTAAGGTTTATTTCAAGGTTATTCGATCCCCTCGGTACTTCGATCCGCCAGCCTTCCAGGCACGTCCCCACGTGTACCTCGTCCCCTTGGCCCTGGCACAGACTAGGCTTAGGCTGGGGGAGGGCCTAGCACCAGCAGCAATCACAACACGGGCAAACGTCAGCCTGGCCTGACCACCGTCGGTCTTGGTATCGTCTCGTCAAGCCCTTGGCATCCCGACGCTGACGTATCCGTTCTCTGCATCCTCTCGCATCTTTTTGTCCGCCGTACCGTTGGAGACTGTCTGGGCACGATGGGTTTTCTCTTTGCGATCCATGTCCATCCTCGTCCTCAGCGCTCTCTCCGTCCCTGCTGGCCCTCTTGATCATCCTTCAACTCGCTTGCACGCTGTCCCCTACGTCTCACAACACCACGAGGATCATCGTCATCCTGCCGTGAGACAATCATAGCAGCAGCAGCAGCAGCAGTGGCAGTCGCCCACTTCATGGCTGAACACCCCGTGCGCGACGCCAACGGCGATACTCAGTACTTGAACGACGACGAGATCAAGAAGTTTCTTGATGATCTCGACCACAATGACGACGGCTACATTGACTACAATGAGGTAGAGCAGAAGCTGGACGCCGCCCACGACGAGCTCACACCCGTCACGGCCGCCCACCATGTCACCAAACGCGATCACGATTCTGAAAACGATCACATCCGCCATGCCTTTCTCCGTAGCATCATGGGCTCGGAAGAGCAGCGCATCCCGCGCGATGAATTTGCCAAGCGCGTCAAGGAGTGGAAAATTCCCTCCCTCGAACAGGCCAAGAAGGAGGAGAAGCAGGAGAAGCAGTACATGAAAAGCGTGACGGTGTGGCGCCGCATCCGCGCCTACTGGGCCGTGCATGGCCCCGAGATCTGTTTCCTCGCCCTCGTCATCGGCATGCAGCTGGCCTTTGGCATCTGGCAGCTCGTCAAGTACCAGACGACGCCGGCATACCGTGCTGCCTTTGGCTGGGGCGTCGTCATGGCCAAGACGTGCGCCGGCGCCCTCTACCCGACCTTTTTTTTCCTCATCCTCAGCATGTCGCGGTACTTTTCCACCTTCATGCGCAAGTCCTACTATGTCTCACGCTTCTTCAACTGGGATCTTTCGCAAGAGTTCCACATCCGCATCTCCTGCGTCGCCATCCTCCTCGCGACACTGCACGCCCTGGGCCACCTGACGGGCTCCTTCGTCAGTGGCAGCGACCCCAACAACGAGACCGAGGTCGCCCACCTGCTGGGCGACGACATGGTGCCCCGGCCGTACATCGAGTACGTCCGCTCCGTCCCCGGTGTTACGGGCATCACAGCTCTCGGCTGCTTCTACCTACTCTCCCTTTTGAGCATCCCGCAGGTCCGGAGATGGAACTATGAAGTATTCCAGCTCGGCCACCTGCTGATGTTCCCCATCATCGGCCTCATGATGGCGCACGGGACCGCCCATCTCCTGCAGTGGCCCATGTTTGGCTACTTCCTCGCCTTCCCCACCCTTCTGGTTGTCGTGGAGCGCGTTGTCCGCGTCGTCCTCGGTTTCCACCGCATCAGGGCGACCATGAAGTGCCTCGACGACGACACGGTCGAAATCACCGCCATCATCCCCAGTGAGCGTCTCTGGAGGTACAAGGCCGGACAGTACATTTTCCTCCAGGTGCCAGAGATCAGCATCTGGCAGTGGCACCCCTTTACCGTTTCTGTTTGTATCGGCAACAAGATGCAGGTGCACATCAAAACGGATGGCAACTGGACCGGCAGACTGCGCAAGCTGGGCGGCGACGCGGGCGAGTCTGAGATTGAGGTGGGCATCAACGGGCCCTTTGGTGCGCCTGCCCAGCGTTTCTACGAGTTCAACCACTCGGTCATCATCGGTGCCGGTATTGGCGTGACGCCTTTCTCTGGCATTCTTGCCGATCTGCAGGCTCACGACGACATGTCCCATGGCGGTCCCGCCCATCTTGAGGCCGGCCACCTTCAGGACCGCCACGACTCCGATGCCACGGCCGCAGACCCTGCCGATGCCTCGGGAAAGTTTGAAAAGGTCACTGGTGGCGATGGCATGCTGCTCGGCTCCGACGAAGCCAAGAGGGGAAAGGCTAAAGATTGCAGTTCTCAACAGGACGACGACAACAACGAGACGCGTCCTGAGAACGACGAGTTTGTCAACGCTGACACGATCAATACGAGTCGCCGCCCGGAGGCCGGCAAGTCGCGCGACTTTGCCGATGACTACCGCCGCGTCGATTTTCACTGGATGGTCCGCGACAGAAACTACCTCTCGTGGCTTTCCGATCTCCTCAACGAAGTGTCGCGCAGCCAGGAGTGGCACCGTGAGCACGAGGACCAGCCGCACCTCGACATTCGCATCCAGACGCACGTCACGGCCAAACGCAAGGACATTGTCACGCACGTCTACCGCTGGCTCCTCGAGATGCACCGCACCGACGACCACCCAGCCAGTCCCCTGACTGGCCTGTTAAACCCGACACACTTTGGGCGGCCCGACTTTAACGACATCCTCGACAGACACTACGACGAGATGAGCGCGTTCCGCCGGAGCAAGAGGGAGGAGGCGCGCGGAGAGAAGCCTGGCAGCAGCGCGAGGCGCGAGGGAGCCGGCGACGCAGAGTACTACAAGGAGGACGAGGAGCTCAAGGTTGGCGTTTTCTACTGTGGCGCGCCAGTCGTGGGCGAGATTCTGGCGGACAAGTGCAGCGAGCTCACGACCAGGGGTCGGCATGACGGCAGCAAGATTGAGTACCACTTTATGATTGAGGTGTTTGGATAGACATGTCGACGATACGTAGTCGAGCGAAGTCGTTTCGGCTGGATACTGTAGACTTTTTGGTTCTCATTAATGACTATTGAGCCGTATTCTCACATGTTTCGTTATGGCATCTCCCACACCACACTAGGTCTCCCACGCCACACTAGGCAAGGTACTGCAAAGCTCTCGAATATACTGGTCGACTAGGCAAGGTACTGCAAAGTACTCTCGAACAACTCAGTCCAGCCCCCCCCGGCACCGTCCTCACAGCTTCGCCAGCCCGCCGAGCCCAGTCCGCTCCGGCACCTGCACGACGACGCTGCCGTCCTCGCCCGCCCCCAAGACAACCTCCTGGCAGTCCTCGTCAGCGACGCCGTTGGCAAACTGCGTCACGACAAACTCGACGCTCGTGCCCTGCGGCCCCAGCGCCACCATGGGCGCATGCCAGGTGCCGGCGCCGTACGTGACGGCCTGGCCCGTCGTCGCGACAAAGGCCCGGAGGCCGGCGAGGTCAGGCACGCCGCGACCGGGATAGCCGGACGTTCCGGATGCGGTCCCGGATGCGGACGCGGCGACGGCGACGGCGGCGGGGTCGGGGTTCGGCAGGCCCTCGTCCGCGGGACCGGCGGCTCTGCTCGGCGCCACGATGACGAGGTAGCCGGCGGCGGGGCTGCGGTCGGGCCCGGCCAGCGGGGCAAAGGTCTGGGTGGTGAAGGGGTGGCGCTCGAGGATGCGCACGCGGAAGAGGCCCGGGCCGTGATGCACGACGGGCGTGTAGGGCAGCAGCGTCGAGATGGGCGGCGGCGCCGGCGGGTGCGGGTGGTCGAGGGGCCGCGCGGCGCACACGAAGAGGTTGAGCACCGGCTGGGCGGGCGTGCCGGAGGGGGCCGTCGCGTAGTGGTTCGCCGGCGTCGAGGGGTGCTGGTACTTGATGGCCGAGCCCTGGTTCGCGGACACGGCGCGCAGGGCGAGGTGCGGCGGCAGCGTCGCCGAGGGGGCCACGGCCGGGTGCGGGTTCTGGATGACGTCGCCAAAGGGCGCAAAGGCCGAGGGCGTCAGGGGCACGGCGGGGATGGTCAGGTTTTGGCCGTTGAGGGAGAGCTTGATGGGCGGCATGGCTTTTGCAGTGGGGGCGGAAGTGAATAAAGGGGAAACGTCTCTTGTGCCACCGGCCTTGTGGGTAAGGTGATGATGATGGCGATGCTGTAAGTGACGTGGATGGGTAGTGTTGAGGAGGTGAGCTGAGGTAGGTATAGGTAGCTCGAGCTTGAGCTTGAGCTTGGACGTCTGCAGCTGCCCCCAGCTGTCAGAGTGAGGGGGCCGCCCGTGCAGGCCGAGGCCCACCAACACGGGGAAGCATCTCTCATCTGATCACAGCCAACACCAGCAGCCCAGACAGGTGCCTCTTGTGTTGTCTCTCGTCAAACTAGGCACTGCAAGTATACAACGCATTCACGAGGCAGAGAGTCATCACTATGCATGCATGACCTAAAGACCATATTCATGGTCCCCATCCCAGCGCAATACCGAACATGCCTTTCCTTCAAGACCTCTCAACAGTGACTGACTGGATGGGGCCACCTACCATGACAGGTGCGAGCGAACCTTAGAATCAGCATTCGTTCATGTTGCGGCGGCCAGAACATGTACCCCGACGCGCCAGCTGTGTCTCCATAGCCAGCTGAACATGCACCATGCGCGGCCCCAGGCACAGCACGGTCATGGCCGCATCCTTCCATCAGAGCGGTGAAGAAGCCGTCGTTCCCAGCAGATGTTCCATGGTATGATTTGTATAGGCGGAAAGATACGAGGCGAAACCGTCGGCCATCCCTTGCAAGAACTGCAACGAGCTAGATCGACCACTACCCCGCATCCTGCATTGGTCTGACGCAGCCGCAGAAGAAAGCGCAGATCCCAGGGAGGCCATCGGGTGTGAATTAGGAAACCCGTGTGTATAAGTCAACGTGCCCGGTAAACCGCCAGCACTACCTCGCTTGTGTGCAACTGAACCCCGATCACCGTACCCTCAGAAGATAATCCCAAGAACCCATTATGAAATCCATACGGCTTATGCTCCACGCCCGTCCAACAGACAAAGG